GTCTCTGCTGGTCCAATAAGTTAGCCAAACACTATTGTAGGTCATCTCTGTGTAAACCTGGACACCTGCTAGACATAAGGAATGTGTGGCATGAGGTGGGGGAATCATCTTTCCCGTGTATTCTGCCCCCATGCTAATCCCCACCACTGTAACTAGCCTGGATACTGAAAACTGGACCCACCCCTGAAAGTGCTCACCTGCCTGCTCAAGAGGACACTGAGTGCTTCTCCTGCTCTCCTGTGCTCTGCCCAATGCTCTGGATGTCTGGCTGGATCACAGCCTTTGATCTAGATCCAGGCTCATCCTGTGATATGTGCTCTGCACTCTACCAAGGCAAATAAAGGTGAACCACATCAAAGCCAGGCCTGTAGCATCGTGCTATCTGTGTCCTGGGGAAAGAAGCTACCCCAGTGTAAGTTGCATCAAGAAATAGGGTGGTCAAATCAAACCTGATTGTGCCCCAGATCTTTCTGAGAACATGAACAGCACCTTGAAGCCTTTTGCAATACAGTTCTTTCTGTAGAGTATTTTAAGCAATTTGGTAAAGCTGGAAAACAGCAATCAAAAAGGATGAGGCCAGGAGTGTTGAGAAGGATAATTATGTCACTTTTGTGCTCCAAGCAAGACTGAGGACACCCACTATCTTTAAGCAGGAAGAAAACCAAAACAGATTCTGGCTTTACACTCAGATCTTAGTGCACGGTGTCAAAGAGACCTTTTTAAAGACGGCGGCGTCTCAAGTTCAAGTACGAATGAAGTGTCCATCGTTTCGTGTGTTAGACGTAAAAATACATTGGAAGCAGTATCTATAGATCGGAAGTTTTACAAAATACAACCTATATGTGAATTTGTATGAGTTCTAGCTATGAAAAAAAAAATACCTTTCTGCTTCCCAGCAATCCTGTATCTCCCTAGGCTACAGAATTCCCTGATTCTCCACTAATACAAAAAGAGGGGTGGGGGGAAGTCACAATTTAGTTGAGGAGCTGAACAGAAGGCACTGGCTTCACAGACAAGGAGTGAACAAAGCAGAAACCATCAAAACTCACCGAACCAGATCTGTCATTTCGGAGTACTGTCCTCTACACTTTCAGGACACGGGGTGGGGCAGTGGGAAAGAGACTAATTAACAAGTTACTTTAGGATCAAAAGTTTAGATTTTTTTTTTTTTTGGTTAAGGATTAATACAGGGAGAATGTCACAACACTACCAATATGAACTCACCTATTGTTAGTCTAGTGGTTGTCTCTCTAATCCTAATTTCCACATGTTCAGATACAAAGTTTCAGCTTGGTGAGCAGAACAGCAATGTGAGCTGTCCATTTTGATTTAGCCTGGTCTGTTCCAACCCATCCCAGGAGCTTAATACCAAACATTGGCCTCTTGAAAATTTTCATCTAACATTGGACATTAAAAAAAATTCATTTGTCAACCTCCTTTGCAAGTAGATACTGACTATGTGACTGAGTTACAGGCACTGGATCATGGACAGGGGTAAAAGGTGAAGCATCAGGCAATCTCCCCAAGAATGAAGCCTCTTTTGGATTCCCTATTTGCTCTTTCATGGGTTAGGAATGACCCTCCAAATGCAAATATTCGTGGATGTCACACAGAGGGGGCAAAGCCCCACATCAACTCTTCCTTCCAGCTCTGGTACAAAATGGGTGTAGGAAAAAACCACATTCAAGCCAGTGCAGCTGGTGACCTGGTACAGTGGTGTTCAAGGATAACCCAACTGGCAGAGGCCTCTGGACTTTTACCAGTACTGAAAAATGTGAAGAAAAAAAAAAGTTAAGAAAAACTTTTGTAGTCCAGTGGCATAAGAAGTCACCAGGGATCTGCCATCCAGATGGGCATACTCGGTTACTATTAATAATTACCTGGGACACCAGGCGTGGATTTCTAGGAAAACCATGATGTGTGGCTGGGTACACTCATTGGGTTGGACCTTGACTCTTAATAACATCCTTTGCCTCTAAACAACTCCTTTCAAGACCTTCCGATATTTTCCAGGATCTATCAGAATTGAACTGTAAGGCTGAGTACATTTTGTGCCTTGTGCTCTGTGTCTTGAGTGAGAAAGAACAGTATTTTTCATCACCCACTTCTGTTTCATGTTCTTAGAAATATATGACTCAGAAGTGTATGACTCCTAGAATCACCCCCTGGCCGTTATTGTGGGCCAGATAATTCTTATAACAAGAACTAAAAACCTTGCCTTGCCTTGCCTGCATTCTCAGTCCACCAAAGGAAACAGGCTAGCAGGCCTAGCTGGTCTAGGAAGTGGCATCCTGGGATTTCTTCTTTGTGGAGAGCTATAGACCAGGCTAAGGGGGGCTGTGGTTGACACCCGGAGACCTGTTGAAAGAATGGTAGCCATGGGAGAAGCTCTTTTACTTCAAAATGGATGAATTTAGGGTTTAATTTGGGACGGTGGGAATTTTTTTGACCTCCTCCTTTAAAGATATTCAGTGTTACAAAGCTTTTAGAATGGAATACTTCATCCCCTCTTGGCACAGACGTGGCAGACTGATCATTTTTGCAAACAACCCCCACACTCCTCTCAGATCGCAAATTCCCAGACAGGGAAGCAAACAGATTTTCCTCCTCTGGCTCTGCGGATTAGCCAGCAGCACCTCTGGTGGGTGCTGAGTCCTTGTGGAGCTTGCAGGTCGAGTGAGACAAGTGGAAACATGTTCCACAGCCATCCAAGTGAGGCGCTTGCTGCCGAGGCCCAGCAGACTCAGGCAGTGCACACCCTGCACCTCCCAGTGAGACTTTACTGGATTCTAGGGCTTGTCGGTTGCTGTCTGAGTCTAAAATGGAAATCACTGTCATTCAGGAAGCAAGGGGTAAAAAATTTAAGTCACTTCCCAAATAAAGCCATGGGTCTCACCCAGGGCCACCACTAATGATGGCAGTGTCACGGTGCTGGTTTTGTCAAAGAAGATCCTGAAAAGTTCACTGCACTGGGGTCGGCAGGGGGAGCTGGGTAAGAGAAGAGTCTCTACAACGTCAGAGGTGTGCCAGGACTCAGGTCGTGACAGCAGTGGCATCTGTACCCACTGCTGATCCTGCCACTGGCCAGGACAAGGGCAGTGCCCCAAATGTCTCTTACCTCATGATGCTGTTAACTTTAAGAACACAAAGGAGCAGAATCCTTACAGACATGGATCCTGTCAGCCCATCTGCTGTGGGCCATCCTCAAGTGTCAGGTTATGACTGTGAATAGAGTTAAAGTCCATGTGTCACATGGATGCAATTTCAAGTTTGTCATATCTTCTCCACTCTAAAGGCCAAGTTTCACTGATTCAGTCAGAAGTCACCCTAAGTATACCCTGACATATTTCATTCATGACAGCTTCAAAGCTCTCTTATCTCATTTGGCTTTTTGGCATCTTTTTACAACAATGTACTTTTGAAAGTTACCCCATAATAATCTATTTTCTGAACAAATTTTGCCCAGTTTGTGCCAAACAGTTAGAACTGAACAAGAATGAAGATGCATTAATGAATCCTAGAGTCTCTTCCAAGTGTGTGAATCAGAAATGAAGAACATAGAACATGATTGTTAATGAAGATTTCAGGAAAACTGAGGTTTGGGAGAGGGCAGGATGGGACTGGAAACTGTGCTGTCTTCATGGGACCCTGCGGCAGCTGCCATGGCAACAGTCATTGCTCCAACATCTCCAGCATCACACATCTTTTCTTCAGGAGACCAAAGGACAGTTTTCCCTGAATCCCAGGATGGAGCTGGTTCCAGGAACTGCTTCTGACAGCAAACTCCAGGATACTCGCATCCATCTTATAAAATGTTGAAATGTTTTTTCACATGATCACAAATGTGCTCTTGTGCATTTCACGACATATTGGATTATGCGTGGCACCTAGCAATGGGTCGGTGTCATGTGACTAGAGTTAAGGTGGGGGGGGGGGTAGTTTCTGTGATGATGCAACTTATTTTCCAAATATTTTCAATCTGTAGTCGGCTAAATCTTTAGTTTTGGAATCCAGATAAGGAGACCCAAATGTAAAATAATTTTCTAAAAATTCATCCAGGCATTCCAAATGCCTAACACTAAGGGACAGGATGACAAATTCAAGATAAAAAGCTACTAACACCTTCCTTCCCCCACAGCCTTATTCCCCAGGGACCTGGTCCCAGTAACCCAGGATCACCCTTTACTTCATATACTCCTGCTTCAACTGCACCCTTCTTAGTCTCCTACATATATCTGGAAAATGTATTCTCCCAAGTGGACCTGTGGCATTCCAATCAAATGAAATAATCTAGTGTTAAGAATTAGCTGCAGAGAGACAGAGAGACAAACGACATCATGATTTGACATTCTCACCGCTAAGAATGAGCTCGGCAGCTCAGGTATCACAGACCATGGACGGGAGCTGCGGGAACTTGTGATGAAGGGAAAAAAAAAATCTGTTGGTGTCATTTGTCTCCATTCTGGGAGATTCAGACAACATGTCTGTGACAATATAAGACTGAAATCATGGCTTGCTGCACACCATGTCTTTTTGTTTCAGGGAATGACGGGAAAGTGTAAAGAGCCGCATCTCTGGGTGGTGTGAGAGCTACACCTGAGGCTTCTAAGCAGAAACTGTCATCAATGTCCATAGCCAACTAGGGCAGTGCCCACCAGTGGCACTGAATGAGTCGCTGATGTAGCACCAAGCAATTCCAGATGGGGACAGTAGATAACTAAAGTGCTGCAAGACCCTTAGAACAGTGCCACCTTGGAAACCCGCAACTCAGACTTCCGGGGACAGACTTGAAGGGACTGCGCTGGGCTTCTGAGGCTTCTTCCCTCAGCTTCTGGCTAGCTCAAGATTCCAGGGATCCTTGTTTTCTCAGTTTAATTTCCAAATATGATTCACTGCTAAAACACACGACCCCCTGCAAATGTCAAAGATAATGATTTCTATTCGTCCCCAACTTTTAGTGACAGTGTGTGCTAATGCCTCTGTTTCTCTGGTGCTTCAAGGTGGTAAGAGAATGGCACAGGGAGCCTGCCAGCCTGCAATGTTAGGGTGGAAGAACATGAGCCAGGAGTTCAGCATGCTCGCCGCCACTCCAGTGTAGCCAGCAACGCAAAGAACGGAGATGCCAGCTTGGCTCTGTGAGTCTGGGGTAAAGTCGGACACCTCCTCTCTGTTTCACTCTTTTTTACTACTTTCCAGGAGCCAATCTATTATTGAGGCTGCTGGCCTGCTGGGCTGTTTCTTCCAGCAAGCCCTCATGGCAGCTGCTTGCCCAGCTGACACCCCAATTGTAAACAACCACCTTTGACTTGCGTGAAGTGGACTGTGGGGTGAGGTTTCCTGATGCAGGCTGGAAACCGCCACATCAGCTTCCACAGAAACAAGCATCCTGGAGCTGTCTCCCCTGCAGACCCAGGGAAGTCCCATAGACGTATACTCTTGTACTTCAGCCAAGAGGCTGCCCTGTTTGGTGGCACTGAGTCCTGGTCTCTGTTCTTCCAGATACAAATCCAATCCTTTCCCAAAGGAGTTGCAGCTTATCCAGGTACTTGAAACAAGGCTAACCCTTGCTCTTCTTGTACCCTCAATCATCCTAGTTTAATCAGCCTGACAGGGTCATTATTTCCGGAAGGGCCTCCCATTAAGCAAAGCTGTGTTAAGAACTGAAGAAATGGGAACACCCCTCCCTTATCCTTAGCAGTTTCATTTGAATTCCACAGAGACTCACCTAGGAAACCCCTGCATTCTGCTCTGAGTGGTCCTGGGTGGAACTTCCCACAAACCCAAAGGCTAAATAAAAGCCTCTTTAGAAAGCAGTAAAGAATGCTGAGAGTGAAGATACACTTGTGGGCTAGCCTGGGGCACTCACATTTAACATTTGAAATTCAGAAAACCTGGATAACTTATCATCAAACAAAAGTCAGACAATTGGAGGGGACTGGCCAGAAAAAGGGTTCTAGGGAGGACATCAGATATTGTGCAGATAAACAGGAAAGTACTTGCTACCTTACCCGGGAAGTAACCACCCTTCAGGAGGCTGGAGGCAGTACATGACCCTGACTCAGATATCTTGGTAGCTCCTTACAAGAAGCAGTTGGTCTAGCTCATGTCATTGGCACAAACATTGTAAGGACAGAGTGAGATCTAAGAGGAATTTGGATATGGGTTTTGGGAGACAAATTAGTACATCCCAGCTCCAGACATGAGCTCTTTGCTTCCTGGAAAAAAAAAACTGTACCAACATTCTGGGTGATAAGTCACCTCTTTCTCAGTCTGAGTGACCTTAGGAAGGGAGGGACGCATCCCCCACCTTCAGTAGTCCATTCTTCTGCCTTCAGGGTCTCCCTGTGCTACTCTGTCCCCTCCCTCCCTTCCCCTCCCCTCCCCTCCCCTCTCCCTCCCTATTGTCTTCCACTCTTTTTCTACCTTTGCCCTGGTCCCCTGTCCTTTCTCTTCTCCTTTGGATGTACACTCTCTCTATCTCTGTCTCTCTGTCTCCCTCTTCCTCCCCCTCCCCAACCTGTTCCTAGTTAATGTTTCCAGCTCATCACTGTGCCGGCCTCTCAGATCAACATGATTCAACAGTCCTTGAATTCTGGGGCTCACATGACAGGTCCTGTATGTTAGTCACAAAGCACCAAAAATGCCCCAGAGGAGTGGAGACCACAGACAAGATTACTCCCAGCTCTGACATGCAAAACATAGCACTCAGCACTAAATAAACTAGGGAAGTGTTCACCAAAGCCTGAGTGTATGGCATTGCAGCCTCCAGGCCGGGATAATTACACACTGACTTTTAGTTTAGTTTACATTCAGAATTTAGAGCAGACTTCTTGATTTAAGAAGGCCAGCTTTCAACTGTGACATTAAACTCAGACTTCCGAGGGGAATCTGTGTGCATGCACTCGACTCTGCATTTGATACTTACAGGCCTTGGAGACCCACCTGGCCCCTAAAATATGCTCACCTCCTCCCAAAACATCTACCTGTGTCTGTAGTTACTTGGGGTTAAAGAATTAAAAGCATAAGTCTAGGGAGAAAATGGCCTAAAATAAAAACACCTTTAGGCGTTTAATCACAGAGTTCTCTCATCAAATTTAACTGCCCATGGATCTTTCACTGAAATCATTTTTCACCAGGAATGTCAAATGTCAACTGTCCAGCATGTACCCTTCACAGGTTGGCCAATGAGTTCTGTCAGGGAGAGATGAGCAGGCAACGGCCGGCAGGTCTTCCTCATGCTAGCCCATCATATCTGGATCCTTAGAAATCTGCCTAAGCTCCCTAAATACAGTGTCAACTTCCATCAGCCCTGCTAGCCTCCTTTTCAGATTCTAGAAATTTCTGAAACTCAGGAAAGCAATGTGCATGCAATGTATTCAGAGGGACACCGTGTATATATGGTGGCGTGTGCGACACGGACAAAATCTTCACACCCCAACACTTTGCACCTTGGAAAGGAACATACTAAGTACTGCACTAAATGGGATAGCAAGGATATATATCAACTATTGCACTAAACAAGATAGCAGCCATGCTGTGAGGAAAACAGGGTGGGGACCCACCCACACTTCTATCTATGTTTCAGGACCTGTGAGAAGATGCTGCTTTAAAGCCGCTATTGAAACTTTTATTCTAACAGAACTTACACGGAAAACCTTTGTTTCCACCTTTTAATCCCCTCTTGTACATTTAAGCTAAAACAATTAGGGAATGAGAATGCTGTATAAGGGATGGTCAGGTTGTCTTATTCTACACTTCATCCCCTCACATGCTAAGCCTTCAGGAAACATTCGTTTCAGAATGAAAACAAAACATAAATTACGAGGTGACACTTAGTATCAAAGTTTCTAGAATAGGAGTTATAAGCCTAACACAAAAGTTCCTAACTTGATCAAAGTATACTGTGGTGCTTAGAAATAATTTCCTGAGGTAAGAACATCCCTAAAATTAGACAGCTCAGGAAAAGACAAAGGATTTTCAAGTTCTAGAAGGGAAGGAATATCTCCTCTTGCTCAACACTGCCAGACAACAGCCGGATAAAACAGAGAGAATACTGGAGGCACAGGAGAGAATCTCGCAGCAGGCAGAAGGGACAGAACTCCTGCAAATGCAGAGTTCAGGGCCTCAGGCCTGTCTATGAAGCCTCAGGCTCATCTGTATAACTGTGCTTAAACAAAAACACAGTACTTTCCAGAAGAGCATAGCATAATTCAGAGTTTCTACATCAAACCATTCATAATATCCAGAAGAAACTCAAGAGGCGCCTCAGTCATTGTAGTCCAACCCACGATGACTAAGATTTGTAATTAGCAGACAATGTTTTGTCTTCGAAAAAAGAGAAAAAAAATCTTTGTAAAACTCAAGTCCCATTTAAGATGCATATTCTCACTGAATTAAAAAATAACCTTCTATAACTAGACAAGAATTGACAATATTAAAATCAGATCATATAACAGTAATGTCTTTCCTTCTTGGTGGATCACTGGTATACAACAACAGGTTATAGTCTGCTTGGATTTTAAGATTGTCCAATTAAACTGTAACTTTTAGAGTTTCTTCTCACAAACATATGTGTATTACACAAGAAACGTACTTATTTTCTTTGTCAGACATTCATATTTTATACAATATATACACAGTTGGAGCAGAGTCAATTAATAGGATTTTAGTGCTGTTCTAGGACGTAATGGAAATGTCCCTGTAGCTAATGCACAGTTAGGCAGGTTCATCATAGAAATAGATATTTATAAAGAACCAAAAGGAAATTCTGGATCTGGAAAAATATCAAATCAAAATTAATCTTCTAGTTGAGAGGATAAAAGAAATTGGTGGACTTGAATGTTAACTTATGGGACTTCACCAATCTGAAAACCATACAGAGAAACAGGGAAAGCGAGTAAGCTCAGAAGCAATAACAGGATCAAAACCGGTCCAGAGGATGCAAGTTGTGTAATCACAGTCTCAGAAGGAAAGAGGCCGAGGCAAAGACACCGTGCGTCTGAGAAACGATGGCCGTAACTTCCTCAGGTTTGGTCAAGAGCTTTAATTTACATCTTCAGGAAGATCCAAGGAGTGTAAAGACTTCAGAGTGTAAGTGCCCAGAATTTCCATCTTCAAATGCTCATTGAGGCGTCGTTCTCGCTGCGTGACTATTCCCAACTGCATTGTTTCCGATGCCACTGGGGTCAGGAAACACAGACTCGCCCTTCCGGTTCTCACAGGGCCTGGTCAGAGAACACTTCTGCATTTTAGGACATCACTGCTCTTAAATTGTTTTAATTCCACATATAAGAATTTTTAAGGTGATTTTGAACTCTAAAACAAACACTTGCATTGGAATATCATTGCACCCCAGACCACAGCCTGAGGTTTAAGTCAGGAAGTGGTGAATTTAAGATGGCCTCAAGGAAAACCCAATTTTCCCCTTTCATTGGCCTCCAGTTTATCCCACAATCCAATGAGCAGATAAGTCCTGGAAGTCAAACCTTCCCTTTTCCGACATGGGGATCTTATGTTTGTGGCAAGCGAGGCTGTTTATCTGTCTCCTGTTTATCTATGCCAACTGCCTGGTCTTGGGTACCAGGAATGACCTTTCTGATCTTAGCATGACTCTTCTTGCTTTTCAGGGACTTGTGAATCAACATTAGGCATCCAGGACGCATGCAAGGCATCTGGAGACTGTAAAATTGCAAAATCACTGATTTTGTTTTTGAAATATCTTCACTTTGGCATATCTAGCTACTGAGCAAATATGGGTACAAAGCATTATACTGCTTTCCAGACATTTCTCCTTATCGACGAGGCTGAGGCTTGCTGAAGGGCTCCTTTCTTGGCTCATCTTTCCAACACACTAGAAATTAGCCTTTCAACCGAGGCCAATGATGTGCCTTTATCTGGCCAATAACACAGGCATCCGGGTGTGGTGAAGGCTCTGAGAATCTATCTCTCACAGATGATCCCAGGTCCCCCTGCCAACATCGATTTTACGTTCGCAGGCTCCATTGCAGATAATACGAAAGGCAACCTTCCCACTCTCACTAAGTATCTCTGTTATTACCATCATCATTATTTGCAGGAATTTAAACAACGTGCGGTGCTTTGCACAAAGGTGTGAGCTGCCAAAGGCTCTGGGAGATGGAGGTTAGTCATCCACACTGTCAGTTTTGCTCACTGACTTTGGCAGAAAAGTCCATTTCAGCAGGGAAGAATCTGCACATGAGCTGGGACATGTGATCTCTCAGCGTCACTGCTAGTGCCAACTCGTAGTA